AAAAAAAAAAAAAAGAAAAACGAACTCAAGATTGTCAAAATAGACACTTCGTGATTTAAAATGAGACCAGATGGATAATTTTTTCATATAAAGTTAGAACTTTTCATCGTTACTGATACAAATTATGCTTTCTCACTGTACGTGAAATTATTATTTCTCTGCCGATATTTCTTTATCTTTATTAGCTTTAATTATGGAAATTACGATAGTTTTTTCGTCCGTTAATAGGAATGGAAACAAATGTATGAAATTTTTGTTGCTTATCAACGTGACTGGCCATTAAATTCGTGCTATATTAAGCTTCTAATTTTATTATATATATTGGATGGGACAAGAAATGGGGACAGTACGTAGCAAACTATTGAAAGTGATACAAAAAGTAATCCTTTTAGCTTCAAGGTGTGAGCGTTTCATCTTCTTCATTTCTTCTTTAGTTAAAGCGAGCACATCGACAGACCTTTTCCCTAAAGTTAGTATCGATATTATAAAAATTTATATTTGTTAAATTTTAATTACCCTTGCATATTTAGAATTATTTTATGCATTATTGTATATACAATGGAAAGAATAGAATACTTATTTGACGTCCACTGAAGAAATTTACACTACTTTTCTCGAAATTTTGTTTAGACTTTGATGAGGAAGGACGCTAGCGACAAGCTTCTCACTCTAACAAAAAATTTAAAAGACAAAAATCAAAGATATCAGAAAATTTTGTGAATTAGAATCGATACAATTTTCTTGGAAGAACACCGAAAAATAAAAGATTTCTTTTATCCTGTTGTAAAGATTTTATCATAAATATAAATATTTGTCAAAAAACGCTCGTCTATAATACGAAGAATTAATTATATTCTGATTACGAAATTTGATTGAATTATATAATAAATGTATAAATTATACATTCTGATTATATAATTATATTATATTATATTATATAATTATATAATTATATAATTATATTATATTATATAATTATATAATTATATATTATATATTATATATTATATAATTATATTATATTATATAATTATATTATATAATCTGATTAAATATTTGATAAAGTTTGATTATTAAATATATTAATATTTGCGATAATAAATATAAATAATATTTACTAAACGAAACTTAAATAAGTATAATATCCGATATAATAACTAATATAATACAAATCTAATATCTCATTATTAATCCATAAAATAAATGCAAGTTATTTTTTTACACTGACAAGACTAAGTATAAGAATAATAATTTCCTTGTCTACAGTACTTTGGTATACTATATATAGAAAATGAGCATATTTCTCACTGTATACTATAACAGAACGTCGATTATTTAAACGCAAGTTGATTTACCTGTATTTTACCAACTATGCATATTAACTGTGTATTTAATTCACATTTCACGACACGTATCTGATCTGAGTTTCATGTGTACATACAACTTTCATTTTATTTATATCATGAGTATTAAAATAAAAGTAGAGAATATAGCTGAAATTAATAATAAGTGAACGTCTAGGAAAGGCGTCTAATGACAAAAGGAAGTCTGCAATTCACGACATTAAGAATTAGTAGGATTTCGAAAGAACTAAAACAGTGAAACGAATTTTCGTCGCCGTGAAAGTTTGAAAATAACACAAAATGACGACAAACTGGACCTTACGAAAACATAATATTAAAATAATTGACGAGAAAGCTATTGAATTGAATATAAATCTATGATAGTACAAATTCATACGTATTACGTATTACGATTGTCCGATTATTCGAACGAGTTTGCATAATCAAAAAATCTGTAAGAATTCACATATAAAATATTGAACTAGAAACTCGTAAAATAATTAAAATATCCATACTAAATTTTTAAGTTTAAATTAATTTCTTAAATTGATATCGAAGTATTATATTTTTTAAATTAATATCGTTATCAAACTAAACTGAATAAATGTATTAACCAATAGTGCATTACATCGCACATTTGCAATGGAAAGAAGGTAACACGCGAAAGTGGAAACGTAATTAGACACCAATTTGTTAAACAAATAAATTACGTAAGTGCAAGCAATGAATTCTTCGTTTTACTTGCGTCCATCTAATAGCAACGATAATTAAAATAAAACTCACAATGCCAAACGAATTAAAAAGGCACAATTACTTTCAAATTACGGAGATAAAGACAGAGTCATTAAACTTAGAGTGTTACAATGTTCTCGTGATAATAATGCGATAATATATTATCCATCCTAATATTAGCTTACTGATGTTTAAAAATATCCGAAAGAAACATTGTCCACGGTCCAATAACAATTCCTTGGACAAAGTAGATAAATAATGAAGTGATATGACTGCATTATCAGTTTTGTAGATAAACTCTGTTTAATGGATACTTGTAAAATATCCATATTACACATTTTAGTAGATAACGATCAT